CTCTTTCAACGCCTCTTTACCTTTCACCTCAAGCTCTATCATGAACTCCTTCAAACGACGCCGAACCCAAGCCCAGTAACTCTTATAGGCATTCTCCCCAGGCCAGCCACCGGAGTCCATACGCTATCATCCTCAATAGTCAAATCAATAATTTCATCTGCCATTTTAAAAAAAAAAAAAAAAAAAGAGGTAAAAACCTAAAATTGTAAAAAAAAAAAGAAAAAAAAACTGGGAACAGAAAAGAAAGTACATAGAGGGAAAAAAGGGTAAAAATGAATAAAAAAGTAATCCTACTGTTACATTAATATAATACACCCAATTATACCCTTTTTCTTTTTTTTTTTAAAAAGACCATGTTTACTCCCTATAAAATAATATTATAATAAGTATCGAATTCCATATTTATGACAATTAAGATTGCTCATAAAATACTATAACCATTTTAATAATAAGTATCAAATTCTATATTTATGACAATTAAGATTTCTCATAAAATACTACATTTATATATAGTCCAAAATAAAATTAACAATTTAGCAAATAAAATACTGCATTAATATTTCCAAAAGAAAAACATTTTAAATAACTACCCCTCATTCATTAGGCACTTATCTCTAGGGTATCTATCCCTTATTACCTACATAATTTTTTAAAACATTTCTTAACATAATAGCTAATTCTTTGTCCAAAACAAAAGCCAATACCTAATTAAATCCAAGGCATTTACATATAGCTAAAATCATACACTATTAGATAATGAGGAATTAACATATTAAAAAAATTCGAAACAAGTCACATAACTAATATAACGATACCAAAAACACGCTGGACTATCGCGCGCATTGCGCGCAAGAGGACAACTAGTAAACATAAATATAGAAAACCAAGTAGGTTTTTCGGAAAGGCAACATATGCCAGAGAAAAAGAAAACATGCAAGTGTTGGTCTTGTGGAGAATTAGGACATTATGCTAATGAATGTAAGAAAGCTAATCATAAATTAATGGAAGCCTTAGGAAGTTGGGATTACATAGAAATACCAGAAGAGGCTTTAGAATTAGCTTTAAGTAATAATAAAGGAATAGTAGAGATAATAGAAGAGGAAAATGAGTATAATGAAGAACCTGAAGATACTGATGAGTTTGAAGTTGAAAATTATGAAGAAATAAATAATATGATGGAAGGAGAAGTATTAGAAAACTCGGAATCAGATGACGATGAGGATAAAAGTAAAATGACTATAGGTCAACTAAAAAGAGCTGAGTATTCTATTGATGATAAATACCTAGACCAAATGAACAAAGAAAGTTGGAATTTTCCCCAAATTACTAAAGATAAAATATTTAAAACTTCTTTCTTTAAAACTAGAACTAAATTTGTATGTGAAGAAATGGAAGGAATTATAGTAATCGAGGATTATGAAAAGAAAGCAACATAAATCAATATCATAAACTGGAAAAGCATTAAAAACCATAAAGAAAAAGGAAATTATAGTTATATTTGTATTGATGCAGTGCAACTACACAACGAGAGGTTGCACTTAGAATTTCTGAGTGTGATTTATCATTAATAGATCAGATAAATATGCAGCAAGAAAAATTATGTGAAAAACTATATTCAACAAATCCATTAGATCATTGGGAAAAGGATAAGACATTTGCTAAGATAACTCTAACAAATCCTAATAAGATTATTAGAGTAAGACAAATGGTTTATACCTACCAAGATATATTGTAATTTGATGAACAAATAAAAGAATTGATGAATAAGAAGTTAATTAGGAATAGCAAAAGTCCTCATAATAGTCCAGCGTTCATGGTTAGAAATCATGCAGAAGAAAAAAGAGGTAAAGCTAGAATGGTCATTAATTATAAACAACTAAATGACAATATTGTTTTTGATGGCTATTACATTCTTAATAAAACTGTGTTGTTTAATACAATACAAGGAGCCACATGGCTTTTGTCCAAAAAAAAAAAAAAAAAAAAAAAAAAGGAGCCACATGGTTTTCTAAAATGGATTGTAAGAGTGGATATTGGCAAATTAAAATGGAAGAAGAAAGTATTCCATTAACTGCATTTAGTGCCCCTCAAGGGCATTATGAATGGTTAGTAATGCCTTTTGGATTAAAAAATGCTCCACAAATATTTCAGAGTAGAATGGATAATATTTTAAGAGAACTTAATCATTGTTGTTTGGTTTACGTAGATGATATTTTAATCTTCTCAAAAGATTTAGAGCAGCATAAGAATGATCTTAAAGCGGTAACTCAAAAATGTGCTGAGCATGGTATAATCCTTGGAAAAGATAAATGTGTATATGTTAAACAAGAAATTGAGTTTCTAGGATTACAGATTAAAGCAGGTTAAAAAGTATTGCAAAAACATATCCTAGAAAAGATTGAAAAATTTCCAGATAAAATTGAAGATAGAAAACAACTAGAAAGATTCTAGGATGTTTAACCTATGCTTCTGACTTCATAGAAAATCTTGCTCTATTAAGAAAACCATTACAACAAAAACTCAAGAAAGAAATAGCTTGGAACTGGAAAGAAACTGATTCCAAAATTGTTAAAAATTTAAAAGCAATGTGTAAAGATCTCCCTATACTAACACTACTTACTAGTGAAGATGATTTGATCCTTGAAACAGATGCTAGTAATGAGCACTGGAGTGCTGTATTAAAAGTCAAAGAAGGAGAAAGACTCTGTAGATATATATATCAGTGGAAGTTTTAATAAGGCCGAGTTAAATTATTCTACCATGCAAAAGGAAATCCTTGCAGTTATTAGAGGGATCGAGAAGTTCTTAATCTTCTTAGCCCCTAAACAGATCTTAATAAGAACAGATTGCAAAGGCATACTTGGTTTTGTTAAAAAGAATTTGTCAAATATGCAAGCGCAAGGGAGACCCCTACGTTAGCAATTATGGCTTAACCAATTCTCTTTTATTGATGAACATATACAGGGATCAAAGAATTCTTTGGCAGATAGCTTGACCAGAGAATTAGCCAATGGCGAAGAAGCACAAGACATTAGAAAAACCTTCTGCCCATCAACTAGAAAAGATGGAGGCAGAGAGAAAAACTCTTATTGAAGAAACAAACAAAGCAATGGAGCGGGTTTCACCCTCCACTTGGGCCTTGATGGAGGCCATGATTATTTCATCAAAAAAGAGATCACGAGATGGTTTGATTAAGAGTTGTCATGTAGCAGTTCGAAGGTTCCTAATGTACGAAGTAATGGTCATCATCCTACGACTCATTCCAGATATTCAAGATATAACACTAAATAAAATAAACGATAACGATTTCAAATTCTAGAACAATTTAGTTGTATCAAGGTCATACAAGTTGTATGATGTTTATGATCTATGGGGAAGTAGAATAGTGTTCAACACTAATTCCAGAGTGGGTACTGTGTCAATTCACCACATTCTCCGGAATGGAGGGCACCATATGTGGCGGAGCACTACAAAGCTTGGGATTATGGAATGGTTCATAGCATTGTCCCATTTCTTGATCACAATACTACTTTCATTGAGAAGCTCACAAAATTCCAGAAGTATGTATTTAGGAGAATTTATGGTGCAACAAGATACAAAGGAAGAGTTGAACAAGTCCTAGTACAAAGTGCAAACATTGAAATGGTGGAAGGAAAAGTTAGCTCTCCACATTTCCGGATCATGTTTGAAGATGTTCATCACAAAGTCAAAGATCCAATATATATCCAGCAGAGACGAGTAAGGGATCCTACGGAGGCTAGGGCATATGGATTTTTCTAAATTACTCAGTATCTTAACCAATTTATAGCAATAAAGGAAGAGCCACCAGTCATAATACATGTGGGAAATACTACAATAGTAGCACCCGAATGGTTAAAAAATTATTTAGAAGAAGGAGTGATACATGGTGAATCAGTGTATGATTATCTTGAACAAGTTGAAGCTGAGAGATATTTATCCTTAGAGGGAAAAGAGCACTTATTTGAGATCTTTGTCACATGGGATGAATCCTATGTTGCCAAATGTGTGATGGATCTCGGAATAGAAGAAGACAACCAAATGTAAGTCCATTATAAAGAGTGTAAGGACAACGAAGCTGGTCTACAAACTATGATGGAGTCTTGAGCCCACACCAGCAATAATGTATTCTACTTTTACTGTTGAAGCACGTTTTATTTGTTCTAAAAAATCTATAGGAAAGTAGTGAACGATATCCACTTGCCGAGTCATAGTTTCCTGTAAGCCATAGAAAGTGTCGGTGACCTTTGTAAGCTTTCCCCTATATAAAGGGCATTAGGCAAAGAAGTGAAGATAGGCTTGAAGTGAGTTGGCTAGAGCATTTCTGAAAAAACTTCTCTAGAGAAAATCCTCACCTTAAGAGACATATTGGTTTTCCATCTCTCTTAAAGTAGAGAAAAACGCTATTTCTTGTCATTGTTAGACTTTCTGTTGTTAATTTTGTAATAAATGAGTGTTGTAATCTTTTCAATTTCATAAAATTTTCCTTTCAAAAGGGAACGTTATCCTCTCAAAACTTATGTCACAGATGAGTTAGTTTTATGTACCATCACAAATACAATATAGATTGTTTGAGAAGAGACTACGATCTAAGGTAGGAAACGAATTAGATCTCTGCTTTGCCTGATCTAAGGAAGATGGGGTTGGGATTAACTACCTTGGTAAAGCCGGAAGCTCAGAATGCCGGAAGTTCCATTGTCGACTAAGTTCAGGTATTGGTCAAAACTCTCTAAGTAAAACATTTTATATTACGAAGCATGGTGGACTATTAAATATAAAAGCTAATTTGTTTAATATATAAATAGTAGAGTAGTGAAAACTAGTACCAATAAAAGTCATATAAATTATCAAATCGAATTATAGTAATAATCTGTGTAAACTGTTATTTACATTCAAGGTACTGTTATTAGTTTATCAAAGATATTTAGCTTAAGGTAAATAACAGTACTTAATAAATAAATTAATAAATAAATAAATAAAGTTGACGTCACTTGGTATTGGGCGAGGCGACCTATACCGGGTAGTGGCTAGTGGTCCATCATTCCCCCTCTTATTTTTTGACCGTTACGCTAATCAATTTTGTGGCTCTGACTCACTCACCTCCATTCAGTCCATTGTCAGCCATGACTGCTGCTTCCTTACACCTCCGTTTTCTTCACTATCCATTTTCTCTCTCCTTCAAACTCCAACGCAATCGATCGATCACAGCTTCTAAACTTCCTCGATTTCAACTTCAACCTCTTTTTCCTTCCACTAAAATTAGGGTTTTTGGCTCCGAATTTGGGAATTTTAGAGCGCGAAATTGCACTCTGTATTGTTCTTGCAAATCGAATTTGCACGTTGATAAGGTCGAGATTGTGGAGGAAATTGAGCGTCCTGCGTTTGATATTAATCTTGCGGTCATATTAGCCGGTTTTGCTTTCGAAGCTTATACTTCTCCTCCTGTAATTTTCTTCCAATTATATTATTATACTACCTCTGTAGTATTAGTTTGTTACATAATTTTTTATTAGGAATTTTGCAGTTATACGAAGTACAATATTTGTTAAGTTGAGTAAATTTGATTAGGTAGTTTTGGATAAGATGCATTTGAAATTCTAAATTTGTGGAGGAATGTTTAATTTGATTGAAATTTTTTGTGTTGTGTAGGATAATATTGGACGACGAGAAACCGATGCTGCTGGTTGTACGACGGTTTATCTTTCCGAGTGCGTGATCATTTTCTCGAGTTTATTATTCTGTGATGGTTGTATAAGAGACTAATTGCTTGAATGATTGCTCATGTTAGTCAATTGTTAACTATATCCTCAAGAAGATGATATTTCCAGTTGTTTTAATGTTAACTTATGCCCTCTTTTCTTCCCCTTATTTTTTGCCCAAGTAAAATAATTTTTGTTGATGTTAAATTAATTTTACTGAATTGAAATTATTTTACCGAGATTCTCTATTATATTCTCTTTAAAGTTACTATCTTCTATTGATTAAATATTATTACTTAGTTTATTTTACTGAACTAAAAACTGAATATTTTTTTTTTTAAAATTGAAGAGAACAGGGCCTTATACTAGTCCGCTACTCTCTTTGTTATTACTTATGGTCATATTGTCGGTGTCTTTTATATTGTTATTGTTACCATTCTCAATCTCTCTTGTGACTTTAGCATCAGTTTCATTCATTTATTGTGCTAGTACCTATCTCACTAATTCACGATTGTTGCTCAGTTGTTTCACTCTCAACTTTTGTAGGATTTCTTGTTGTTTTAACAAGGTTTTGGTGTTAGAAAACTAATGCAGTAATGTTTTTTTTTTGAAGCACCACTGCGTTGAGAATGGCTTAAATATTATGAATTGAAGGCACAAATAGACTTGTTGAGTGAGGAAGTATATTGGTGAATTAAAGTACTTTTCTGATTACTTGAAAGCAGTTTTCTCCCTGCTACCAATTTATTTTGTGGTGTAGTTCTGTAATATGGGTTCAAACTGCATATGAAAGAGCCAATTATCTTAACTTTTTTTAGGAGAATACCCTTGCAACAATTTATGTATTATAAATGAACAACTCACAAGAAATAGGAAAAAGATTTACTTTGATCAAATAACTGAAATGTAAGAAATTTCATAATTGCAGATCATTTGTTCGGGAAATATATGATGGACAGTTGTTCATAAAGTTGAAGAAAGGCTGTAATCTACCAGCCATGGATCCATGGGTTTGTAATCTTCTGATCACTTCTGCTTTAATTTGTGACTTTGGCTTATCTGTGAATTATAAATATGTATTTCAAATTCCATGTTTTTTTATTTATTTTATTTTACTTTATTTATTTATTTTATTATTAAATGTACTATGTGCCTTTTCCTTTAGCTTTATGTTTCTTTTCGGTTTTTGGATAATATTTTCTTCATACTTCATCCCCCACCTCTTTCAACACATTTGTTTTATGCCAGGGAACTAGCGATCCATATGTTGTCATTGAGTTTGACGGTCAAGTGCTCAAGAGCAAAACAAAATGGGGGTAGGTCAATTCCTTTCAAAATGATCTCTTTTATTCTGCAGCGCAAATTTCTAATAGCCTCATCTTTTCAGATATGGGAGTTGGTGAATTGTTGCAATTGATTTTATGTTTCTTTTAGAATGCAACACCTGGATTGATATGTATGAAAGAACATATACCACTAATACTACAAATATTAATAATTAATGGCCTTTATATATGACTACTTGTTTGAGAACTTTAATTTTATTCTGCTTTTTGATGTTTTTAGCACAAAAGATCCAACATGGAACGAGGAATTTGTTGTAAATATCAAGCTTTCACCCAATGCATTTCTTCAGGTAAAATTACACTGAAGATCATTTACTGTTTTTCTGGTGTTGAATTAAATGTAATTTTATTATTGAAAGATACTTGAAGCTGCCTTATTAAAATTATGTAGGGATAATGTTGAACAACTTTGCTGGAATCATTGCAATCTGGATAAATAATTGATATTGACTACTGTTTTAAGATGTTTGTAGATAAATATTATCTACTTGAGTGTCCAGCATCAGGTTTTCTCAAACTTATATAAAGTTATAATTTAGGTGACTTCTTTTGCTGCTTGCACCTCTTACTCCAGAAAAATGCATCAAACTTTTGATAGCCTAAAGTATATAAATTTGTCTACTTTAACCCATGTGGGTCAATCCTTTAGCTTCTTCTCATATAGCATTACATCTTATCAACTTTATTCTCTTCTCATGGAAATGAATAAGCTCTATGATGATCAATGGATATCACCTGGTTGTTTGCCAGTGAAGTATCGGAGGAGTTGTATGAGGGACTAGTTTAGTTCATAAAGCTGGTAGATTGTTTAAGTGGCTGCATGCCGTCTCTTAGAAACATATATCTATTATCTATAAATTCCCCAATACACCAAACAAGGGATTGACTATATTTTTATGAATTCCAAATTTAATCCCCATCCCACTCTCTAACCCCGAACTCCCATTCCCACATTCCAAACAATGTGATTTTGCATTCTGAGCAGTGATCTCCAAAAAGTGGATAAATAAAACAATAAGTAAGATTTAGAAAGCTGTGCAAGTTTAAGGAAAGCGTTAGTATAATTCACTTATTTTCCTGTAACATTTGTTGTGAACTCTCTAGGTGGCAGCTTGGGATGCTAATCTTGTTACTCCACACAAGCGTATGGGAAATGCAGGCGTTGATCTAGGAGCCTTATGTGATGGTAAGAATATAACTCTAATTTGTTGTTCTTCTTTCCATAAGCTGGCTTTTATAATGCATTCATTTAAACTGGAGTCTTGTCTGGCTCCTCTTAAACTATACATTAATTAGCATCATAGATTTTGATTTTTTTCGAAAAGAAAATGTTTTCTGGCCGTAATATGCTATGTTTTGTTTGTTTGGAATTGCTTTTGTTTGATTTAAGAATATAATGTTTGGGATTAGGCTTTGTTGTTGCAAAATTTGTCCAATTAGATTTGTCCCCATTACTAATGAACATTTAAGCATTAAAGGAATAACTCTCTCTTCTTTTCAACTACCAGTATGAAGTATCTGGGTGATTTTAAAGTGGTGTTGGAGGCAAATCTTTTTAATAGAAGAGACAATGTAAGAGTAAAGGATTGAGATTTACTTCATTTAGTGGTGAGATAATAATAGTATATTTTGATAGGAAATTCACATGAGTTGCTGTTGGAATTGGAAGGCATAGGAGGTGGTGGAAAGATACAATTAGAGGTAAGTGTTAATATTAGGAAGCAATTAAACAATGTGGTTGTAGAAAAAAAATTACAGTAACGACTAATTTTTGGCCACTGATATGAAAAGATTTACACCTTTTATTCAGTGTTTTATTCATCATATCTATGTTCAACAATTCAATCTTTTATATTACCATTGTTCCTGTTAAATTATATATCAGGTTTAAATAATTCTGTACTGATGTAGAGAAACTCTTTACTTTATTGAATAGGAAAATGTCATATAGAAAAAACCATAAAAATTGGACCGGATATTAAGAGCTTCTTTATTGCACTTGTGTGTACTATGTTTCGTGTCATTTGCAAATTCAATGCTGGCCATTGTAGGTACCCTCTTTTATGAGATATTTAATTGTATATGCTGGTGGTAGGATACCCGTGCCTTAGATTGGAAAGCAATGAAGCTGGTGGCTTTGGTGAAAACAAATACGCTTTCTCTGTGTTTCTTAGTTATAATCTTGTCGCATAGCTTTACTTGCTAATACAAAAGACTTTCACACTGAAATCATTTCATGTCTAGGATTTCCTGTTTTCTATTGCTTCAATTTGATGCTCATTGTTGTATGGATCACTTTAGGATAATCTTAATATGTCTGGTTTCCATGAACTTTTTTGTCTGTTAGAGTAGCTCTTGTAGAGTTTTAGTAGTTAATCAATTTAGGAGAGTAAGAAGAAATGATATCTAAAGGGGGAAGAACAGACATACTATGGGAAAAAGAAATAAAAATTTTAATGCGCAGCATTGAAAATATTTTAGAATGAAAGATTATCATTTCTGAAGCTTTTGTTTTTGGGTGTAATTAATTTTATGTAGGGATAACCTTTGGCTACTGTTTTACATGACTATAAATTTTTTCACCAACACTTTCCATAAGAGTCATATATGGACAAGATTTGAGTAGGGTCAGTCCATTCAAGAACTTATTTTCACATGTCATTCTTTTCAGGTCAAATATAGGAGTTTTGGTGAAATTGATGAAGATAAAAAGTGGTGGCAGATACCTTTTCTTTCTGAATTTCTTAGTCAAAAGGGTGTTGACTCAGCTATAAAAATGCTTGCTGGATCTGAAAGTGTGCCAGTACGCCAGTTTGTGCAATTTGCTTTTGGTCAGTTAAAATCTTTGAATGATTCATACTTGCATAAAGATTGGTTTTCAAGTATTGTTAAGCATGAGGAAGCTGAAGGGTCAAGTGAATCTTCTGGTGAGTCTGATGCACCATCATCATCAAACAACCTCTCTGAAGGATCCTTGGAAAGTCCAAATTTCAGTGATGCAAACTATGCAGAGGATTTCTCATCAAATGATACTAGTGACATTACACAATCAAACATAGATTTTTGGAGAAGTTTTGCTGATGTTATCAATCAAAATGTGATTCAGAAAGTAGGGATCCCTGTTCCTGATAAAATGAAATGGGATGCTTTTGACTTAATAAAAAGTATGGGCTTTCAGTCACAGCAAGTGGCAGAAGCGGGCTATATTAAATCAGGGCTTGCAACTCCAGAAAAGGACTCTAGTAATGATTCTGGTGTGGATTCGAGCCCACTTAACATTGGCAAGATCCAGTCTTCACTTCCTGATATTAGGAAGGCAACTGAGGACATATTGAAGCAAACAGATTCTATTTTCAGTGCACTCATGCTTTTGTCTGCTGCTAGCCCTCAATTAGAGAAGGAATCACTGAATGGAGAGCATTTTGAAGATAAAAAAGACAGTTTACCAAAACAGAATGATGATGTCTCAGCTTCTTTGAAGAATGAAGGGCTTGCAGGTTTGGATGAAAAGAGAGCTGAAGAGACAAGGGCGCTTTTTTCAACTGCTGAAACTGCCATGGAAGCTTGGTCTATGCTCGCCACTGCATTAGGAAAGCCAAGTTTAATTAAATCAGATTTTGAGAAGCTCTGTTTTTTGGATAATTCAACTACAGATACACAGGTAATTTTCTGGCTCAAGCTTGCCAAGTAAATAGATTAGAACTCAGTATTGTATGATTTCCTGTGGATGTATAAAGTTAAGCAGCTGCAGGTAGCAATTTGGCGTGATTGTACGAGGAAAAGATTAGTTGTTGCATTCAGGGGTACTGAACAAGTAGGTTGTTTACTAATAATTGCTCATGTTGAAGTGCATTGTATTTCTTGATTTAATTAATCTAACTGCTGAACTTTTAGGCAAGATGGAAGGACTTGCGGACTGATCTAATGCTAGCTCCTGCTGGGTAAAGTTTTTGATTAACGTATTAGTGCCATTCTTCGAAGCGGTGCAGTGAAGTGGGGTTTTGTGTGTGTATCTGTGTGATATTTAGCTGTTCGTGTCCTCTCATGGAGGGTTTATGACTTTCAGTATGAATGCATTTGAGATGATTAATTTTCAAAATGCTGTTCTTACAGGTTAAATCCTGAAAGAATTGGTGGAGATTTTAAGGAAGAAGTTCAAGTATGACTCATTTTTAATTTCTTGCTGTTAGATGGTTGCCTGATCTTCTGATCATTCCATATTTTGCTAATGTTGAATGGTCAATTTAGGTTCATAGCGGATTTCTGAGTGCATATGATTCAGTTAGAACCAGAATTATGGCTCTAATCAAGAAAGCTGTTGGTATCATGTAAGTCATTCAAAAACGTCTTCATCTTGATGTCTAATTGCTAAAAGGGGAATTAAAATTATTTATTCGTCTTCTTAGTCAGTTGCTTGTTTCTTTCAGTGGTACACATGCAACTCATAGCTATGTAAGCAAGATTGCAGTGATGTTCCTCAGGTTTATACGATTATTCAATGTGATGCAGGGATGATGATGAACAACCACAAGATAAATGGCATATTTATTGCACTGGTCATAGTCTTGGTGGTGCTTTAGCAACTTTACTTTCTCTCGAGCTTTCATCAACTCAATTGGCAAAGTGAGTTCACTCTTTTTATGCTATATTCTTTGTGAAGGTCATGTATCCATGGTATCATAGATGCCGGTATTTCATAAGATGGCATGCTTGCAGATCTTTATTGAATTTGATGATAAATCATACGGTGTTTGAGTGGTTTGTTGATACGTTATGGCAATTCTGATCACCGTATATTAACTACTAGTAACTTAGACTTGTCTCTATGTTCATAAAAATAATGTGGGCACATTCTTCTTACTTTGGATAGTGCTTCTAACTGAATAACTAATTTAGAGGATGACTATCTCATTTGGATGTTAGCCTGTATTATTTTAAGGATTTTGAAGTGCTCTTGTTGATGTTACTTAAAATCTTGAGTAATAACTCCTTTCAACTAATTGCCATAGAGAACTAGCATATTATCTATTGAATATCTTCATAATCTAGTATGTTAAAATTTCACTATTATTTTTTTGCTCTAGAAATGGGGCTATATCTGTTACTATGTACAACTTTGGATCTCCTAGAGTCGGAAATAAAAGATTTGCAGAAGCTTACAATGAGGTATACTTTTTTGTTTCTTTCCTTTGCTCACTATAATATTCATATATTATTCCGCTGTATACTTTAATTACTTTCATGTTTGGTTGTTCCAATATGATTATTTATTTATTTATTTTATATCTTATTACCTTTTTAGTGTTATTTACAATTCTATATTATCTCTTCTTCTTCTTCTTTAACAATGTAGATTGTTGCTGTATGGTGTAATCAGATTTTATCTTTTTCTTCTTTGTTAACTTGTTACGTTCATTAACTCTCTCTTGCAAGGTGTTTTTTTGTGAGAGGTAGAACTTTTAAGAAGAGGTTTGCTAGTAATGGTAATGGGAAAAAGAACAAGGGTAAGTCTACCACCAAACCCTAATCGTGTAAGACTTGTAACTTAGTCGCATCAAGGACTACTTCAAATCGGAGTGTTAGAAGTGGCAAAATAAACAACCGGGAGATGGTGTTAGTAAACACTTAAAGGGGAAGGAACCTCAAACTACCATTGAATCTACTTTTATTAACACGAATAATGATAGTGGTGCATTGGTTGCCAACTTGCCACTCATGGGAAAGTCAAGAGTAAAGATGAATGGATTTTGGATTCAGGTTGCTCCAACAAGTATCTTTATAGTTCCTAGAGGAGTATAATGATATAATGTCACCATGGGAATTTATGCTTAATGAGCTTGTAAATCGATCGTTGGACAATTAAACACTGTCAAAGACTTGTGCTACTAAACAAGAAGTATATGGAAAAAAAGGATCATATCCGTAGGGAATGACAACACAAATTTGCAAAACAATTACAAGCTAACTCAATCATAAGATTGGCTACAAGACAACTAAATCAAACTAAGGGAATTACTATGGGAAACAAACTCTAGGGATGTATTGGATATGAATTTACCAAGCCAACGAAATAACAAATTGGGTAAAACATAAATACAAATGGGTGATCGGATGGGAAACTTAATAATGCCTTCTTTCAAAGCTACACATTAAGCAATTCCTTAACCAACTAACAAGGTTAGGTAGCAAGGTCCAAACAATTAGGAGTGAGTTCCTAATTCGATTTTATCATAAAGCATGATTCACAAATAAGACCCTATTCATTTCACCTTAGTTTTGTTGAATTATTTATGTTTTTACGAAATTGAAATTATTTATGCTGAATGAAAATTATTTTACGTGTATTGAAATTAATTTTTATTTTTTTTATTTTACTAAACTTAAATTATCTATGCTAAAATGAATTAAAAAAAAATGAAAAATCTGTTTGGAGGGAGTAAAAAAAGAAACCCAAATGAACCTCAACCATCCTCCTTCACAACAAGACAATCCTAACCCAGCACCACTCATAAGAAACCATGATCGAAATAAAAAAGCACATAATAACCTTTTTAAGAGAAAAATTCTTCCAACCCATATTTATCACAAAGAATTAATGGATCTACAAGGGATCGATGAAGGAATAAGAAGAGTGGCCAACAATTTCTGGTGGCTAAATTTCTTAAATTTTAAGAAAGAAATGTATGCTTCCTTAACTCTTGAATTCCTTTCATCGGTCACAATGAAGTGCATAAATATTGAGGGTGTGCCATTAGAATGTGAAATAAAGTTTAGGATGTTCAATACCGAGAAGGTCCTAACTTTTAATGAAATTTTCACATGGCCATCCTCAAACCTAGTGTATGACTTCAATGGTACTTACTTTTCTAGCTACGAGGAGCAAATGTGGTGGAACACCAATGCAGGTTATCCCAGTTTCACGACCCAGTGTAGCCATGCTAGCCACATTATCCACCTCGTGCTTCGAATCTTCATGAGAATCATGGGCTATGCTTGTTTCTCAAGGGAAACTAAAACAAAAGGAGATTCAATGCCTCTTCATAGCCTCAAGATTCGAAGACAAAGTGGAAGGAAATGTGAGCATGGGATACATGCTGGTTTAGAGATGTATAGACATGAGGTTGAAAGAAGAGATAAATGGCGAGATTAAATGTGGGGAATGATTTCAATTATAGCGGGGAACATAGGATTTGGTATCTTTCTAGACCAAATGGTCTTGGTCCATGGCTCGAACTTGCTTGACCGCCTTGACATCAAGGGACTTTATGTTGAAATCCCGGGCTAGGTCCCTCGCTTTAGTAGGAAGATCAATGGGAGGGATTATTGCACACTCCCAAATATCGCGGTCATTAACTCCGTGGGAGACACGTGGCACGTGGCACGTGATCAACTCCCATAAGGGATGGCCGACCTTAATGATGATGTGCCTATACCTAGTCGTATTCGTACATCCTCCATTCCCGATCTAGGGGAGATGGTTCATCCTCCTCTTCCACGTGTCTCCCACGGAGTTAATGACTGGGAGTGCAATAATCCCTCCCATTGACCTCCAACTAAAGCAAGGGACCTAGCCCGGAATTTCAACAAGGAACTTCATATCATAAAGTCCTTATTTGGTCTAGTAAGGTACCAAATCCTAAGTTCCTTGCTATAATTGAAATCATTCCCCCACATTTAATCTCACCATTCATCTCTCCTTTCAACCTCATGTCTATGCATCTTTTAACGAACATGTATCCCATGTTCATGTTTCCTTCCACATTGCCTTCGAATTTTGAGGTTATGAAGAGGCATTAGATCTCCTCTTTTGTTAGTTTCCTTAAGTCTTGCTTAGAGAAACAAGCATAGCCCATGATTCTCAAGAAGATTCAAAGCACGGGATAGATAATGTGGCTAGCACGACTAGACTTGGTCGTGAAACTGGGATACCTCGCATTGGTGTTCCACCACCCTTCTCCTTGTAGTTAGAAAAGTAAGTACCATTGAAGTAATACACTTGGTTTGAGGTGGGCCATGTGAAGATTTCATTCAATTTAGTTAAGTTAGAACCTTCTCGGTATTGAACATCCTAAACTTTATTTCACATTCTAATGACTCACCCTCAATATTTATGCGCTTCATAGTGACCGATGAAAGGAATTAAAGTGTTAAGGAAGCATACGTTTCTTCCTTAAGATTTAAAAAGTTTAGCCAACCGAAGTTGTTGACTACTCTTTTTATTCCTTCATCGATCCCTAGTAGCTCCATTGATTCTTTATGATAGATACGGGTTGGAAGAACTGTTCGCTTTAAAAAGTCACCGTGTGATTTTTTATTTCGGTCATGGATTCTTATGGGTGGTGGTGGGTTAGGATTGTGTTGTTGTGAAGAAGATGGGGATGGTTGTGGTTCATTTGGGGTTCTCTTTTTACCTCCTCCAAAAAGATTTTTCATTTTATTTAATTAGGGGATGGTTACTAAAGATACTCAACAACAACCAACAACATCACACACACCCTTAACTTTAAACTCCTGTAAAAATCCAAATACTTGTTTCACAATATAATACTTCCTCACTAACATTCCTTAAATGGAAATGTTATATTACTTGACCCATACTATATATGGTAAGCTTTTGGTGGATCAATTCTCTAAAATACCCTCAAAAAGTGCACATGGGGGCAACTTTAAGGGGTAATAAGGTAGGCCATGTGCAACATGGGCCACAAAATTACAATTTCTCTCTCCTCTTCTTAAATATTGTGCCCAAGGCTATGGGTCAAGTAAATGCAAATAGAAAATGAGGAAGTACAACACAAGCAAACAATGTCTCCCGAACACAGAATTTCACAAACAATATCAATTTCACCCAATTTTCACACAAATCACAACACCAGTATTCACAACTTCCTTTGAATTCATTGTCATCTTCATTTTTCTCTTTGCCTTTCCTTTCCTCTTCTTCTTGGAAGCTTTAATGTCATCCCCTTCATCCTTATGAGCATCGGGCTCACCTTCTTCGACATTTTCTTCAACTAATGTCTTGAGGCAAGCAAACATGGCACCTCATCAAACCTATCCACTCCTTGTTTTGACTCATGAACAATGTATAAAAAAGCGCAAGGCGCAATAAGGCGATAAGGGTGCTAGACCCTAGGCGTAAGGCGCAAGCGCAAGGCGCGTGCCTCATCAAAGTAAGGCGCACTTTTGTAAAATTAAAGGTTCTTGTACTTATGTTACTGAAATATAATATAAAAACACATAAATATAAGAACACAATATTGCTTTCCCATAAATATTATAATAAATTCAAAAGGATATGTCAATCTGTCATCTTGTAATCTTGTATCATCATCTGAAACAATGCGCATTTGTCAATATATAATAAAAAAAGGCTAAATAAATAAATGAAATAGATTATATAATTAATAAATTATTTTTATTTAAATGTTTTGGTTAGTGGTGATGTCAGTCTTTTAAAAAATAGATTATATAATTAATAAAAATGGTTGATATTTTCATTAATTGTACATTTTATTTGCATGCGAACTTTAAAGATAATAACAGTATTATAAAAGGATATGGCTCTCATCCCTCTAAAAACTACGAGAGATGGAGTTCTTCAATAATAAAAAAAAAATAAAAAAAATAAACTCAGAGAGATGGAGAAGATTTCAACCATAACCCAGAAAAAATGAAAGAAAAATGTATAAAAGAAGGGAAAAAATTGGAAAGACAAAGAAGAGAAGGAAAAATAAAGTGATGAATACCTACCTGAAGATGGCTGATGGGTTTTCTTCGAGATTCAATTTGTCGAAAGTCGAAATAACTAGGGCTGGCTGAAGCATCTCTTCTTCTACTCTTCTTTCTTTTTCTTCTTTTTTCCCTTTTTTTATACTCTTTGTCTATTTTTTTAGTATTAAGGATATTATATGGTGTGGACCACAACACATTTAACAAGATAAAAAAACTGAAAAAAGGAATTTTTTATTAAAGCGCACAAAAGCACGCTTCTGCGCCTACTGCGCTTCACGCGCTTCGATGCGCCTACCCCCAAACGCCTATCGCATTAGCGCCTAAGGCGCACTTTTTCATACATAGCTCATGAACATCAAAAAGCGGGTTAGTGGCACAAAGCATTCTCAAGTCATGCAAATCATTATCACTAAGAGCATCTAAGGTCATGC